ACTGCACTGCTGGAGTGCCCTCTGTTCTATTTTATGTTTTCATTGTTTTCCGAAGTCCCCTAGTCTTGAAAGGGCAGCAAGGCGAGGCATGTCCAGTATTGCTAGGAGGGAAATTTAGCCAATTGTCACCTTTGGGGTCCGCTACCAAGCGCAGGAGACTGTGTTTATTTGCTCACTTTGGTTTTGGTACTTTTATGCACTGCTTTAAGGAGGAGAAGCGAGGAGCAAGGGAGAACCTTGAATACGTGGACCTTGCCACTGAGGTGGAAGGTCTATTTTACCTATCTGAACAGAAATGCAAATCTTTTGTCAGTTAAAATAGATACAAAATACACAAACACATATTGCACTAGGTATGTAGCTATTTTCCTGCAGTTCAGCTTTTATAACTTGACCTATAGAACAATGATGTTGAGAAAACTATGACAATCACTCATTATCTACCTTTTATTGGTTTAAATTTGCCGGATTGGGTGAGTTCCTTGGGTTCCTTTCTGTTAAAGCTGGACCCTGAATTTATTGACATTTGCTATGTAAAAATAAATTATCTTGGCAATATATGTTTGTTACATATGTAAATTCTGCTTCCTGCTACAAATTTAACCATCTAACTGAAATAGTATGTTTCTTGTGTGGCTGATATGCCAAGGAAAGTCATTTAAAAAAACATTTAGGGCATTTCATTGCTGCCTCGGCTGTTAAGCAAAGCATTGCAGCCTTAGCATGTGTACACCTCAGTCTATTGCCTTTACAGCTTGAGGGCAAATGGTTGGAGGGGAGGGGACAGAAAAAATGTGGCTCAACCACAGCAACTACATTGGTTTGTCCCAGTGCTGAGTTAAAAACGTGTCTAGCCACGATGACTGCAGCATGGTGCAACAGATGTTTATGCTGAAACAACTGTCTTTCTGTCACAGTTTAGCACTAAGGGATTTTCAGGATTGCAATAGTGCTACATAGTGATCCTTAGTAGCACAGTGGAACAAAATACTTTTGCCTAATGTGAAAATTGCAATAACATCATGTATGCTATCATCAGCAATTCATGTGAGCCATCTTTAAATCAACTTTACCCTGCCTAATTTTGCAGAAACAGATCACTACAATAGTGATCTATTGCTTGCTGATAACATGATTTTTTTTTGTTTCTTATGGAGCTCCACAGTGTGGTGCTTGTTGATGCCTTGTGAACAAAAGAAGTAAACTCTGAAATCACAGCACACAAAAAAGTTCATTAGAGTGCTTTCACCAACCTTCAAAGAGGAAGCGCTTCTGACAACGGCAAGGTATTCTGGGCAAAACCTCCTGAAGGGAAGGAAATGACCCAAAACCAGCAGAACCTCCTTCTGACATTAGGCCAGGCCCCAATAAACCTACATCCTTCATTTTTGTGCAAGTGCTCATGCATAAACAGTGAAAAATGTTTAAAAAGTGCCAAGTGAAGTACACATGGCAGGCCTTTCAGCCAGTGTAAAAATTGCTCCAGTCTAGTCTAAAGGCTTGCCCAAGAAGTATGGTACAAGAAAAGTAGAAGTGACATGACCTACTGCCAGTGAAACTCTGTGAGGTACCAAACCCATAGTGTTTTACCCCTCGGACACCACACCCAGGGGAGATATCACTGGGATCCCCTTGCGTCTTTAAGCTCCTGGCCAGATAAGGACTGCCCCATCCCTACCATAAAGGTGTTAAGAACAAGCCAGGATCAACACAGGAGGAAAGGATACCCCCCCTCCCCAGTAACCTTATTTCATCAGGAATTACTAACTGCCACCCTCATTCTGTTTCAGAAAACAGATAAGAACAGATACTAAACTTGATCTTGGCCTTTCGGTTAGGTTAATAACATGACTACTATTGTAAGTGATCTTTTAAAGTTGCATGGGGATAACAAAACTGTTCCTCTATGTTCCTCGCTTAGACATCTTTTAAGGATAGTTTTGAAATAACATGCAGTAGCAAGACAGATTCTACTATCTAATTAGTTTAATCCATGGGGTAACTCCATTTCCTTAATAGAGATTATATATTCAAGCTGATCAAACTACAGTGCCTCTTTGTATGCCATCACTTCATCTAAAACAGTATGGTATTTGATTTGGTCTGGTGTTATTAACCATTTGGATGTAAGCTAAATAATTGCAAGGTATCCAGTTATATTGTTGTGCGCAGTACATTCCACTCCAATAGGCATTAATTACAGCTCAGCAAACATTTTATATATATATCTGAATAAATGTTATATTTTAGATTCATCAATTGGCCAGATGGTGCATAGAGATATGCACCGTCGTCCGGCATAGATTTGTTATTTGCCAAAGATGATGATTTACAATTAGGGCTTAGTTCAATAGAAGTTTTGAGATAACACAGTATGTGCACTTTCTGAAAACACACTGAGCTTTCCATTTAATAAGTCCTCTAAGCCCAGCCATCAAAACTAAAGCCCCATATAAACTATGAGAATATTGGATGAATGATCGTCTGTTTTTTTGCATGCTAGTTTCATATCGAAAGTGAAGAGGATACTAAAGTTGCAAAAATTATTGTATGAAAGAACGAAAATTCGGAAGTGATGTGATGTATTTGTATTGTATTTTCAGAGGAAAACTGATCAAATGAAAATTGTACAACCTGGTATCATACAAGAAAGATTTTCTTGCTTGTCCCTTCAAATAATTTTGGATCAAAACTGTATACTAACAATCAGATTATCATACAATCGCTTCGAAAACAGTAATTTTTGTATGAATTTCTGATCGTGCACACTAGGCATAAGTATTGTCTTCTGGTCTTGAATTGTTTCACAGCTAAGAGAGATAAGATGGTTGGTGAATGTGAATGTGAGATTGTTTCTATTGCAATCTTTTTTTATCTGGTACAAAACCAAGCTATGCAAGTTACACCACAATGTTCACATTCAATCAGGGGGAACAGACATAATCAACAGCTGTAATAGTAAGATTTTACCGTAACCATGCATTGTAAACAGCTGTAATGGCAAGATATCCCAGTAACAATGCACTGGAAAAATGTTGTTTAAGTAGATATAATCAACATTCCTGGGATTCATTCAAGCAGAATAATTTTCAGTGTTAAAATCATTTTTTTTCAATTGCATTTGTGTATCCCCCTGTGAATCAATCACCCATGTGGAATCCCAGAAATAATTCTATATACAAATTCTCCTAGTTAGGTTAAGGCACAACAACAGTGTTGCTTGTATGCATTTGTCACACTCAAGTAGTCCAAGACAAAGCCATACTTTACAGAGCTGCAGCCTCATTTAGTTTTCATTTTATATCCCCTGCTTGATAGTATTCACAGGATTGAAAACCTGGTGCACCTCAATGCTTAGGGCAATACAGATTACTTCAGACATGCTGACTGGCAATGATATAAAAAAATAAAGCTACGGAAAAAAAAAAAACAAAAAAAAACTTGAATCGAAAGGCACAGAATTTCCCAAAGACACAGTAGTGATAAAAGCCTTGCAAGAAGATTTTGTACTCTATATTTTTTCTAGTATGTGATGCAAAGTTTATAAACTGTAGGCAACTTTTTAGATATCAGGGATTCACTCTCCAAAGGATCTGTGATGAGGTTTATTTTGACAATTTGGGCGGGACCAAATTGCAATAAAAGTGTGAGGTTTTTAAGGATAGGTTCTAGAGTCTACAACAAAAAGCAAATCTATATAAAATAACACAGTACTGTTTTATAGGTGCAGCCTTCTCCCAAAGTGGAAGAGTTGGTTTGATATTAAAGTTGACTGTCCCTCTACTAGGACAGGGCCTTTATGTACAGAGGGGATTCCCTTCCTGGGAAATTAACCAGTAATCTAATCAAAGTGACTGGGAGCAGAGGGACTGTTGAAGCCAGCATATCATATTAACCTTAAGTATATACAGTAGATGTACACCAGCATGGAAATAATACAAGAAAATATTAAGAATAGTACATACACCCAGTGTACAAACATTAATAAAGATACCTCCAGATAAATGTTGCAACAAAGTTCAGTTGTCGGGGCCCCTGAGGATGATTGTGATGCAGTGTTTGTCTTTGTGCTGATGACCTGAAGACAAGATCAGCAGTGATAGAGAGGTCTTCCAACCATTGTCCAATCAGTCTGGAATACAGATTCTCACCAGAGGAAACCGTCATGTGGTACTGGAACTCAGTGTCAGCTTCTCTACACTACATCTTATTCCCTAGTAGTTTCGAACCTGTTATGCAACCGAACATCTAACTACCTGAAGTAGCCATTGGATGCCTAACCTGTCTCTAGGCTATGCTGGTTATTGAGCCCTGAGCTAAAACTAGCTATAGAATCCAAGACCAGAAAGGACAAGGTTATATAAACTCAATGTGACCACTACATACATGCAGTAGCACAGACCTAGCTATCTGGCATTGAATATAAGAAATAATAAAAAAGAGGACAGAAATAAGTCTGTCATAAGGATTCAGATGCACACTTAGGAAGTTATGTGCGGCTGCAGTTATATTATTAAAACATAAGAATACTTGCTTAATTGTCTCTGCTTCTGATCTGGGTGAAAATACACCAGTGCCTGTGTGTACAAGGTCACGTAGCTCAGTTCTCTGTCTCTCCGCTTCCTCCTTCTGGGTTTTTTAACTCAGCTCCACAGAAACAGGAAGTGAAGTACATATATAATTCACAGCACAGACACTTACAAATGTAGACAGTAGAGGACAGTAGAGGACAGTAGAGGACAGCAGATCCTTAGACAGACTAAAATGAACTTCCCCTACTAAGAAGAATTTTATATATAATATATATATATATATATATATATATATATATATATATAAAAAAATAGGTCCATATATATTTGGACACAGACACAACTTTCGTACTTTTGGCTCTGTATGCCACCAGAAAGGATTACTGCATTTTTCCCTCCATAAGATGCACTTTTTTCCTCCAAAAAAGGGGGGAAAATGTCAGTGCATCTCATGGAGCGAATATGGAATGGCCGGTCCTGGTATTTCTGCCGCCACCACCGTGTCAGAATACTGGGCCAGCTACTCAGCTCTTCTCTGCAGCAGGACCTTACCTGTTCCTCTGTCCAGCGCTGTACAGTCTTCCCACATTTACATCTTTAGTGTGGGCACCCGGCTGTGACAGCGAGAAGCGCTGCAGTTTGAAAATTGTCCGGCATCTTCTGACACATGACAGGTCCCAGAAGACGCTGGGCCATTCACAAAGTGCAGCGCTTCTCGCGCATGCACAGTGGGCACCCGGCTGTCACAGCCTGGTGCCCACATTAAAGGGAGGACAACTCCGCAGAAGTGGGAGCGGGTACCTGTCAAATTCAGGTACCAGCTCCCCCTCTCTCTCCCCAAAGGTCCTCAGTCTCTTGGTCATCCCCTGTACTATGTCTGCAGTCTCTGGTCATCTCCTGGACTGTCTGCAGTCTCTGGTCATCCCCTGGAATGTGTCTGCAGTCTCTGGTCATTTGTACTGTGTCCACAGTCTCTGGTCATCCCCTGTACTGTGTCCGCAGTCTCTGGTCATCCCCTGTACTATGTCCGCAGTCTCTTGTCATCTCCTGTACTGTGTGTGCAGTCTCTGGTCATTTCCTGTACTATGTCTGCAGTCCATTGGTTCAGAATATATTTTTTTCTTTTTTTTCTCCTCTAAAACCTAGGCGTGTCTTAGGGTCAGGTGCGTCTTATGGAGCCAAAAATATGGTAAAACAAAACAATCTAAATTAATTTGAAGTGCAGACTATCAGCTTTCATTCAAGGGCTTGAACATAAATATCAAGTACAAATTTTAGGAACTGCAAGCATTTTTATACACAGTCCCTCCATCTTCAGGGGCTCAAATGTAATTGGACAAATGATATAATCATAAACAAAATGTTTCATTTTTAATATTTTGTTGAGACTCCTTTACTGGCAATCACTGCCTAAAGTCTGGAACCCATGGACATTACCAAAGACTGGGTTCCCTCCTTTCTGATGCTTTGCCAGGCTCTAACTGCAGCTGTCTTCAGTTGCTCTTTGTTTGTGGGTCATTTTGGCTTTAGTTTTGCCTTCAGTAAGTGAAATGCATGCTCAATTGAGTTGAGATCAGGTGATTAACTCGGCCATTGCAGAATATTCCATTTCTGTTCCTTCAAAATCTCCTGGGTTGCTTTTGTAGTGTGTTTTAGGTCATTGTCTATCTGTACAGTGAAGCACCGTCCGATCAATTTTGCTGCATTTGGCTGAATCTTGGCTGACAGTATATCTCTTCTGTCTTCTGTCACATCATCAATAAACACCAATGAATCAGTGCCACTGAAAGCCATGCATCCCCATGCCATCACATTTCCTCCACCATGTTTTACAGATGGCGTTGTGTGCTTTGGACCATGAGCAGTTCCAAGCCTTCACTACACTTTTTTCTTCCCATCATTCTGGTACAGATTAATCTTAGTTTCATCCGTCCAAAGAATGCTTTTCCAGAACCGGTCTGGCTTTTTTTAGGTGTTTTTTGGCAAAGTCTAATCTGGCTTTTCTATTCTTCAGGCTTATGAATGGTTTGCACCTTGTGGTGAACCCCTCTGTATTTGCTCTCGTGAAGTCTTCTCTTGATTGTAGACTTTGACAATGATGTACTCACCTCCTGGAGAGTGTCCTTCACTTGTCTGGATGTTGTGAATGGGTTTTTCTTTACCATAGAGAGGATCCTGTGATCATTCACCACTGTTGTCTTCCGTGGACGTCCATGCCTTTTTATGTTGCTGAGCTCACCAGTGAGTTCTTCCTTCCTCAGAATGAACCAAACTGTTATTTGGCCACTCCTAATGTTGCTGCTATCTCTAATGGATTTGTTTTGTTTTTGAAGCCTTACAATGGCCTGTCTCACTTGCATGGACAGCTCCTTTGAACGCATGATGTAGGTAAACAGCAATAGATTCCAAATGAAAAATACACCCTTAGAATCAACTCCAGACCTTTTACCTGCTTAAGTGATGAAGAAATAATGAAGGAGTATCCCACACCTGGCCATGAAACAGCTTTTGATTCAATTGTCCAATTACTTTTGGTCCCTTGAAAAAGGGGGGGGTGGCTACTCTTAAGAGCTGTAATTCCTAAACTCTTCCTACAATTTGAATGTACATACCTTCAAATTAAACCTGAGAGTGTGCACGTTCAGCCCATATCCATTATATAACAATAGCTTGCATATGTTTTGGTAAATACCTGAAAAAAAAATTGTGCCTGTGTCCAAGTATATATGGAGCTGTGTGTATATATATGTGTGTGTGTGTGTGTGTGTGTGTGTGTGTGTGTGTGTGTGTGTAACGTATAACTGACAGCAGCTTCACATTTGCCTACAAGCCATAAACACTGTCATACTCTATGTGCACAAATTGTACCTCTACCATTCATTTGCCAAGTTCTACAGATACAAAATATGTGATATTATGTTGTCCCTGGCTGTCATGGAAGGAGCAGGATTGTATACTTTAACAAATCATTGAGGTGTTTTATGCCTTGCTGCCAGCATAGAACAATACATTCACTCATTTGTGACCCAGGAGATGACATGCATGCTGTTCTTTACAAACATTGATTCTGGCAATGACCGGACAACCGGATCAAAATTCTTAGATTGCAGGGTCAATTTCATCATGTTCACAGGTATCTATGTGCAGAAATGCACATGGGAATCTCAAACACTAATTGTTTATGAAGGATAAATGACATATCTTCCAAAAGTGCTGAGCTGCAATATGTAACTTGTGTGTTGCAAAATAATAAAATATATCCTTGTCTGTTTCCTTGTATGAATCTTTTTTTATACTGCCTGACTGTTATGGGTCTGGTGCTGCTGAGCGGCTGCATGCCCTTGTTTAAGTGGGGGAGTAAAAGAACAGCCCAACCACTAGATTTTACCACCCCCAGCCATCCATGTAAAAAAGCCCTTTAGGTTGTTGCTGGGAAGTCCACCTTCTTCATCTCTGCATAGTTGCCTATCTATGGAAGCAAAAGTCATTGTAAACACTACACTCTCCCTTTGGAAGCACGGCAATGTGAACAATTATTTTATTACTCAATATACATATGGGTTGACATTTACATTTTTAGAAGACACTTGAACGATTGCAGTCCTATTGAATGAAATTGCACCTACTACTTAAAGTGGACCTGTTCTCAAAATGTGAAGATTTGCTATGCTATAGAGAAGACCTAGAAACATTCATTGTGCCTCAGCAGTACCCTTACAAAAATATACATTTTTTCCTTGAATTCCACCTGAAAAATAACAGTGCACTTACTGTGTCCACAACCTCATATCTGTATATCTTCAGTGTGAGATCTCAGGCACTGCAACCTCTGATTCCTATTCTAAGGAGATTTGTTGTGAGATTTGGTAATGCCACCACTGCTGCACACTGTTCTCTTTGCTGGAGAGAAAGCTTTACCTGCAGATAAACATCTCTATGTTTCTATTTCATTCATTCTGTGGATCTGTGCTTTCCAAACCTCTCCTGCTGCTTGATCATTCCTCCATCATAATATACATTATATATATATATTTTTTATGTTATGTTACATTATTTTGCCAGTTATGGAGGGGCAGCTCCAACATGAGGGAACAAAGATCTGCAACTAACAAGATGATCACTTCAACACAAAGACACTATGGAACAAGGCACACACATATCACATAGTTACTGTATATAGTTAATCTGGTTGAAAAAAGACACAAGTTCATCTAGTTGAACCAACAGAGGAAAAAAAAAAAGCACACACACAAATAGAAAACCTCCATATACACCATCCTATATCCATAGCTGACCTCTGCAGAGGTCAGGCAAAAAAAAAAAAAGAAGCATAATCCAATTTGCTCCAGCAGGGGGAAAAAATAAACAATCTACTGAGCTGGCCAGAACCAGCTCTTGAGGGAGTCCATTCCATATTTTCACAGCTCTTACTGTAAAGAAGCCTTTCCATATTTGGAGAGCAAATATTTTTCCTCCACACGTAAAGAGTGCCCCCTTGTCTTCCATGATGACTTTAAGGTGAATAACTCTACACTATATTCACTACATGGACCACCCACTGTATGTGTTTATACACGTTGATTATATCCCCCTTTAAACTCATCTTCTCAAGAGAGAAAGAGTTGAGCTCTTCCATGCCTCTTATCAATTTGGTTGCCCTTCTCTGTACTTTCTCCAGTTCCCTGATATCCTTTTCGTGAATTGTTGCCCAAAACTGAACTGCATATTCTAGATTAGGTTTTACGAATTATTTATATAGGGTTAAAATTATATCTTTCTCTCTGGAGTCTATGCCTCTTTTATTACAAGAAATAATTTTGCTCACTTTGGAAACCGCAGCTTGGCATTGCATGTCATTATGAACCTCTTCATGACTAGCCACCCGCAATGTACTGTGGACATGCGTCCGTTGTAGGCAGATTGATGTACAGGTAGCTGCCTACTTACAGGTTTCAGGTGTGCACATCCCGCAGGCACCTGCTGTGATTGTACACAGTGGGTGTCTGTGAGCAAGTCCCGGCCAATGATTCACGGCTGGGATCTGCTGATCGGCTATGTATATTCACAGCCCAGAGCTCTGTGTTGACATTTAACACAAGAAAGCGATCAGTCAGTTTCTCATGCCTGATAGATCGTTTAGTAAAAGCAGCACACTGTACACACATTACACATAGTTAGGCACACATTTAACCCCTTGATCACTCTAGAACCCCTTCCCAGCCAGTGTTATTTGTACAGTGACAGCGTATAGTATTATCGCTGATGACTGTGTTATTATCACTGGTGATGTTAGTGTTAGTTAGTCAGCGTCAGTTAGTGTCATACTGCCCATCACAGTTCCACTGCCCCATTATAAATTGCTGATCGCTGTCAAAATAAAATCCAGTATTTATCCTATAGTTTGTAGGAGCTATACCATTCACACAAACCAATCAATATACACTTATTGGGATTTTTTTTATCAAAGACATTTTTACAGAATACATTTTGACCAAAATTTATAAAGACATTTTTTTATTGGATATGTTATATAGCAGAAAGTAAAAAATATTTGAGTTTTTTTTCAACATTTTCGGTCTTTTTTTTCATTTATATGGCAAAAAATTAAAATACCACCAAAAGAAAGCTCTATTTGTGTGAAAAAAATGATATAAACTTTGGGTTCAGCATTGCATGCAATCAAACAATCAACTATAGGTGGCAAGGTGCTGTCAAAAGATCTCCGGGGTAAAGCTGTGGACAGGCACAAGTCATGAGATCGATACCAAGAGTTTCAAAGGCTTTATCAATGCTTAGAAGCACAGTGAAGTCTAATATTGAGAAGTGGAAGGTATTTGGTACAACACAGACCCTCCCTGGATCAAAACGTCACTCCAAACTGAATGAAGAAGACAGAAGGAAAGTGGTCAGAGAGGCTACCAAGAGGCCTACAGTAACTCTGAAGCAGTTGCAGGAATTTATGACAGAGTGGTCATTGTGTGCAAGTGACAACAAAATCACAAATGTCCACAAATTGGGAGGGTTGCAAGAAAAAAATCCACTCCTCAAAAAAGGCCACATTCAATAATGACTGAACTTTGCCAAAGCTCAGCACCTTGAAAATTCTGAGGCCAGATGGAAAAAGGTGTTACGGTCAGGTGAGACTAAAATGGAATTATTTGGCCTCAATTCTAAACGATATGTTTGGCAGAAATGCAATACAGCTCACCATTCCTACAATAAAGCATGGAGGTGGTGACATCCTGTTATGGGGTGTTTCTCTGCCGCAGGGACTGGAGTACTTGTCAGGATAGAAGGAAAATGGATGGGGCAAAATACCAGCAAATTCTTGAGGAAAATCTGCTGCCCTCCTATAGAAAGTTATCAACGGGAAGAAGGTTTACCTTCCAACATGACAATGACCCAAAACACACAGTAAAAATTACCACACAGTGGTTGAAGGAGAGAAAGATGAATGTCCTTGTATGACCTAGTTAGAGCCCAACCCCATTGAAAATCTGTTGAATAACATGAAGACTGCAGTCCGCAAACGGTCACGATCAAAATTAACTGCACTTGAGCATTTCCACAAAGAAGAGTAGGTAAAATATTGATGTGCAAAGTTAGTAGAGACATATCCCAACAGACTAAAGGCTGTAATTAAAGCAAAAGGTGGTTTAACAAAATACCAACACAATGGGTGACCCTTTTTCCAACTCTGTGTTTTTGAATTTTTTTTTTTTTCCTGGCATGTTGGTGTTATATCTTTCACTTGGATGTTATAAGTTGCATTGAGTAAATACAGCTGGATAAAACAAAAACTGTGACTGGCTTGTCAGGTTTCTCCGGATTTTGTAATATGGGATTGGGGCCTGAAGCTTGAAGGCTTTAATGTTCTTGGGTGGGACAAAGCCTTCAATCCTGTGTTCAGGTCTGGATTGAGACCTGCAGTCTGTGTGATTGCACAGGTGTGCAGTTTCCTTATAAACTAGGCATGACCATAGCTTAAGGCTCCCATTTAGAGAAAAAGACCCATCAGGAGAGAGCTGTGTGGTCCAGCCAGGAAGGACATGTGGCCCTGACAGAAAGAGAGCTGATCCACTCAGGAGACGAGACTCCATGCTAGAGGAAGTCCTTGCCAGTCTGACTGGGAGAGTTGGGACAGCTAAGCTAGTCTGCAGGGCTGGTAGAGATGAGGCAATAGGCTAGTCCAGGGGACTGGAGGGAGTCTGCAAGTCTCTGGAGAGTGAGAGAGCCTGGGGTGCCAGGAAATCCCTTATCTAGATGCCAGGTGTGGGCCTGTGGAGTAAGGTGCTGCAATCTACAAGGCAGAGGGAGCTAGGACTACAAGCTGAGAGTACTGGGTCTTAGGGACCACTGCTAGGAACAGTGGTGCTGCTGGCATGAGAGCCAGGTGGCTCTACAATGTAGACTTTGTGAATTAATTTACAGTATGTCCCATGGGTAAATAGTTGATGTTTTAAATACATTTTAACAAGTATAACCAGACAGATTATGGTGAGATGGGCTTAATGGCAGAAAAATCCATCCACTGAACCAGTGCAAAGCACAGTATAGCCTTCTTAAAATAGAAGGTATTTACAGGTTTCATTTCAAAGATAAATCTGAAAAATGTGAAGTTTAGTCCTCATTTTAGAATAGTGGGCAGATCATGCAAACTGTTCCTTTACACTTCTAGGTCAACTATGTGTCCATGTCCACTGGTTTTTAGCAAAGAGTCAGCCTAGTCAGGAGAAGAGATGAGTTTTGTCACCCTCTGAACTCACCTCTACCCTAACATCAATGTTGTGTTATTTTTTTAGTCCAGTCACCTGCGGCACTGGGTCTTTCAATGCCCCTATAACTCCTACAGACACTTACAATGCCATGGACCAAATATAGGTATGTGTCCATATAAGGGCACCAATGTTCCCAATATACTGCCCCATTGTGTGTGTGCTGCAGAGCAGTGAATGACCCAGCTTAAAAAGACTAAAAAGAGCATGGCTTTGAATTTCAGATAGAGATAAGTTTAGAGGATGCCCAAGCTTACCTCTAACCAGGAGCCATTTATTTCAGACAGCATACAGCTGATTTTGGCTTATTGGCCATCATCAGTGCAGTGGTTTCAAACAATGGCTTCTATGGAATAGGGCGTGGGGAGTAATGAGAAAGTATAACCAAGCAGGTAACATTTTTGGGTTGACTTGACAAAGCCTGGATGCTCCTAATATAGATGTTTTAATCTTATATGATAGGAAAATCTGTCATCTACAGGGGCGGACTGACCATTTGGAAACTCGGGAACTGCCCGAGGGCCCGGGGTCAGTAGGGGGCCCCATGACGTGCCCTGGTACCTTTTTCATAGGCTTTCTTGAGTTTGGGCAAGGACACAGGGGCCCCATGATCCCCTATTGCCCGGGGGCCCCATGAGTTGTCAGTCCGCCCCTGGTCATCTAGTTGACATTCTACCCGTCCAGTAAAATACATTTTTTTTATTATATTGCAGATGCACAGCTTGCTATTAGCACACAGTGTTTTAACATGACAGAAGAAAGAAAAATAGACCATGAAGCAATATGTATAGTAACAACAACAGCAAGAACTGTATTGACTCAATCCAAAGTGCTACCTTGGTGCTGCTGGCCTTTTTTTTCTTTGCTCAACCTCACTAAACAAACAGTGTACTGGATACATTTGTGTTATTAAGGGGGGAGGAATAGTCAAGGAGAAACTGCTGAAAGAGCCCAAAATCAATAAAATCGAGTTCATTAATGAATTTTCTTCCTTTTAAAGCAGATTTAATCTCTAACATAAAAATGTATTGTATTGCAGCTTGCCAGTCCTTAGAGTGTAGTTTTATTAGTTATAATTTTCAGGCTTGTTTGCCTTTATTTTCAGCTGCTAGTTCAGTGAATAATACATTTCCTGACCCTTGGTGGCTATGCTCATGCAGTCTTTTACTGTATCTATGGGGGGAGCCATGATTGACCCCCAAATTGTAATTTTCACCATTACACAGGGGGGAGATTAGTAGTTTTGCAGAAGGAAGATAGTATTGTTTTCTTCTTATGTTTAGCTCAATGACACTGCATGATACTGCATTTCTGCTGGCATCCATTGGTATTTTCTGTACTTACTTAAAGTGGAGTTCCACCTGAAAAAAAAAAAGGTCAGTAGCTACAAAATCTTTAGTTGCTGACTTTTAAAATACAGACTCTTAGCTGTCCCTCAGTCCAGCGGTATCCTCACCACTGCTGGTTTTACTGGCTGTCTTCTCTCCCTGGTGCCAGCATCTTCAGTGTGGGCACCCGGCTGTGACAGCTTGCGGCTTCACAGCCGTGTTCCCATTGCACACGCGTGTGAGTAGCACTGCGTTTGGTGAATGGCCCCGTAGTCTTCTAGGACCTGTCACGTGTCCCAGAAGACTACGGGAAAGAGGGGGGAGGACAACTTTCACTTCCGATCGCCTAGGCCAGTGATGGCGAACCTTTTTGAGCCCGAGTGCCCAAACTGCAACCCAAAACCAACTTATTTCTTTCAAAGTGCCAACACTGCAATGAAACCTGAATATCGAGCTTTTGGTTTAGAAAAAACAACTCGTACAGTAGTGCAAACTAATTAACAGTACAGGGATGACCAGAGACTGCGGACACAGTACAGGGATGACCAGAGACTGCGGACACAGTACAGGGATGACCAGAGACTGCGGACACAGTACAGGGATGACCAGAGACTGCGGACACAGTACAGGGATGACCAGAGACTGCGGACACAGTACAGGAGATGACCAGAGACTGCGGACATAGTACAGGGATGACCAGAGACTGCGGACAGTACAGGGATGACCAGAGACTGCGGACAGTACAGGAGATGACCAGAGACTGCGGACAGTACAGGGATGACCAGAGACTGCGGACACAGTACAGGGATGACCAGAGACTGCGGACACAGTACAGGGATGACCAGAGACTGCGGACAGTACAGGAGATGACCAGAGACTGCGGACAGTACAGGAGATGACCAGAGACTGCGGACACAGTACAGGAGATGACCAGAGACTGCGAACAGTACAGAAGATGACCAGAGACTGCGGACAGTACAGGGATGACCAGAGACTGCGGACAGTACAGGGATGACCAGAGACTGCGGACACAGTACAGGGATGACCAGAGACTGCGGACAGTACAGGGATGACCAGAGACTGCGGACACAGTACAGGAGATGACCAGAGACTGCGGACACAGTACAGGGATGACCAGTGACTGCGGACAGTACAGGGATGACCAGAGACTGCGGAAAGTACAGGAGATGACCAGAGACTGCAGACACAGTACAGGGATGACCAGAGACTGCAGACACCGTACAGGGATGACCAGAGACTGCAGACACAGTACAGGGATGACCAGAGACTGCGGACACAGTACAGGAGATGACCAGAGACTGCGGACACAGTACAGGGATGACCAGAGACTGCGGACACAGTACAGGGATGACCAGAGACTGCGGACAGTACAGGAGATGACCAGAGACTGCGGACACAGTACAGGAGATGACCAGAGACTGCGGACACAGTACAGGAGATGACCAGAGACTGCGAACAGTACAGAAGATGACCAGAGACTGCGGACAGTACAGGAGATGACCAGAGACTGCGGACAGTACAGGGATGACCAGAGACTGCGGACACAGTACAGGGATGACCAGAGACTGCGGACAGTACAGGGATGACCAGAGACTGCGGACACAGTACAGGAGATGACCAGAGACTGCGGACACAGTACAGGGATGACCAGTGACTGCGGACAGTACAGGGATGACCAGAGACTGCGGAAAGTACAGGAGATGACCAGAGACTGCGGACAGTACAGGGATGACCAGAGACTGCGGACATAGTACAGGAGATGACCAGAGACTGCAGACAGTACAGGGGATGACCAGAGACTGCGGACAGTACAGGGATGACCAGAGACTGCGGACAGCACAGGGATGACCAGAGACTGCGGACAGCACAGGGATGACCAGAGACTGCGGACAGCACAGGGATGACCAGAGACTGCGGACAGCACAGGGATGACCAGAGACTGCGGACAGCACAGGGATGACCAGAGACTGCGGACAGCACAGGGATGACCAGAGACTGCGGACAGCACAGGGATGACCAGAGACTGCGGACAGCACAGGGATGACCAGAGACTGCGGACAGCACAGGGATGACCAGAGACTGCGGACAGCACAGGGATGACCAGAGACTGCGGACAGCACAGGGATGACCAGAGACTGCGGACAGCACAGGGATGACCAGAGACTGCGGACAGCACAGGGATGACCAGAGACTGCGGACAGCACAGGGATGACTGCTGACCTTTGGGGAGGGAGGGGGAGCGGGTACCTGAATTTGACTTCCGCAGAGTTTTTTTTTTTTATCTTACCTGTTCCTTTATCAAGCCGCGCGTTGTCTTCCCGGCTTCTGTAGTGTGGGCGCTCGTCGGACAGCCGGATGCCCAGTGCGCATGCGCGAGAAGCGCTGCGCTTTGTGATTGGTCCGGCGGCTTCTGGGATCTGTCATGTGTCCCAGGTACCGCCTTACCATTCACAAAGAGCACTGCTTCTTGTGCATGCGCACTTGGGACCCGGCTGTCACGCACACTACAGCCGGGAAGACAGCGCGCCGCTGGATTCTCCTGGCGTGCCCACAGATAAGGCTCGGCGTGCCGGCTGTGGCACGCGTGCCACGGGTTCGCCATCACTGGCCTAGGCGATCGCAGCAGAAGTGGGAGCGGGTACCTGTCCAATTTGGGTACCCGCTCCCCAAAGGTGCCAATCCTTAATGGGGAGTGGGGGACAAAGGCTTAAAGTGGAACTTCCCGTTTTGGGTGGAGCTCCGCTTTAAAAACTTTTTGCTTGAAAAATTAAAACTAAAAGTAGTCCCAACATCTTCTAAGCTGCAATATATTCACTTTTTGTTCTTATGTTTAGTTTTCCTTTAACTTCAGTGGGGCACAGCTTATATACATGTGGGTGGGGCTTAACATGCCCGGTGTATGTACACGGACTGTGAACTACTACTAACTATGCTAAAGCTGTGGACGGCACCTACGCTTCCACAGTGTGTGTACGAGGTCATTACTCCCTTACTCCCTGATGGCTTGCTCTACATTGAAGCATCTATTTTAATGAAGAGCAAGCAGCCACTACACCATTAACCCACTATGTTCCCCAGCTAACTATATCCGGTGTTGGGAACATAAACCACCCAGGATGGGAAACCTCAAGTCTAAACCCTACCTACAGGATGCCTTGCTCTATGGGGCAGAGCCTAGCTGTGTAAAACCAACATATAAAGTGGGCTTTCTGGCGCTATAGCACAGAACTAACACTTTCACCCCTTTAGCATCCAATTTCTAACTAACTTCATGGCTAACATTATACCCACCCCTACAGGTTAGATACATCAACTGCCAGGTGTGCAGCATTTAGGGACTGGACTGCAGTCACCACCAGCATAGCAATACCCTATCAATCACCTCACTCCCAGTGACATGCCAGCGGATTGCTACTGGATGCAGGAAATGTCATTATACCAACCTATAATTACATGCCTGTACTATTCCAGAGGCCTCAATACCTCTCATCTGTGACTTCCCAGGCCAGGTCCCTAAATACTCTGTCTGTAGGGCAGGTCCCAGAATTGAAGAAGTGGGGTGGGTGGGTGTTAGTGAAGGGGCCAAGCAAAACACCACTTCACCACCAGATTAACTGTCACCCCTGCCAAGGGTTGGCTGCCTTCAGCAAAATACATATTACCATAGTTGTCCCTAGTTTTAGAAATATAGCCTACACTAGACAACAGACCCATGCTGATCTTTATGTGTAGTGTCTACTCTAACCTCAGTTCCCTCTAGTTACAGTATAAGCCCTGTTTTTTTTGGCTATACCATGCAATACACCATTTAAGAGAGAGACTTCAGACCGGAGTAAACAGTTAACAATAACTTTACTGAAGAAAGGCAACATATCAGGCAGCTTCTCACATGAATTACTGTACAAGGTGCTTTAGTGCCCATAGGGTGTCATACCTGAGTATCAGCAAAGAGTCCATAAAAGGCCGTCCATTAGTCCAAGACTGGCAAGGAATCCACAGGAGGTAGTGGAAGTCCATAGGAGCTCTTTAAGTGTCCTCAGGGTCCCAGATCCACAAAGAACCCCAATGTGCCTCCCAGACGGGGGGGCACCGACCGGCAGAGTAACAGCCTACATCTTGGCAGTGGTTTTCAGCAGAATCCTCTGGGGCACTGGAGAGCCCCTTTTTATGTGAATCTATAGAATTTTGGAGGGAAAATCCAGGCAATCAACTCTTTAGATCCACCACACGTATACATTGTAACAGTTTCACAGGAAAGACAGCAGGTTTGACCCAGATAACTGCAGAAAATTAGTCAGCACAAAGAAAACACATTAACTCTTCTGTATCTCAGGACCCTGAATCATTTTGGTCTTGACTCACTGAAGTTGAAGGTTCACTTGATGTATCATCAATCCATAGTGATTGATTTTACTGACCTAGCTGCAAGATGTGCACATATGGAAGTCCACTACTATAGTCAGATATTTTCTGCTGTGTGTGTGGACTCCTCCTAAAACCGATTGAATGTGTTTTTCCTGAGTATAAAAATATCAAAATGTATATTTAATGTGGGCTGTTTGGTAATTACTGGAAATTTTATAGGCATGATTAAAAGTTATTGACACTTTAGTTAGTTTTTATTGACAGTCATTCTTATAACAAACTAATATCCTATAAACATTAAAGTGGTCATGAACCTCTGATATGTAAAATGAACAAAGCATATCCTTATATAGTGTGTACTTGCCTTAATCCAAAGCACCCAGTGTGATTTCTGGCTTCTCTTTCCTCTCCTCCTTTATCTGCAGTCAGTTCTGACCATTTATTTTGACATCAAGCAATCCCAAGAGCTGCCCCCCTACAGCACACAACAGGTGTTTGGCTGCCTCAGCTGTGCATGTTTCCCTATGAGACTGTGTGGGGGGTGTCCTTTCCCTCCACTTAAGTCTCAGATTGCATGTAGATCTCCTCTCTGTGCTGTACAGTGTGTTACATCAAATTTCCATTCCTGACGCTTGAAGCTCAAAAATGCTGTGTAAACTGTGCACTTTGAACAGCTGCAGCAAAAAAAGAGCTACAGAAAAACAGGTACAACAGATGTTGGAAGATTTGTTTCATCTCTGTACATTGTATATCACCTAAGGCTAGCCACTTCAGTGGGTATATGTATAGGTTTTCAGCCATTTTAAAATATGTTCTCTGATACTATTTAAAGTTTAAGCTAGGTTATGCATTCTTACACATTAGATGTGGCAACACTATTATGACTCTTACAAATATACAGAGTGCCTACTATGTTTTTCACCTACAGCTCAGTAAATACACACAATGTTCACAAGCAATATACTGTATCCACTTGATCACTAGAAGGTTTTATCCTCTTCATGACCAGGCCATTTTTTGCTCTTTAGCACCGCACTACTTTAACTGGTAATTACGTGGTTATGCTGCGCTGCACCCAATTTTTTTCACACAAATAGAGCTTTCTTTTGGCGGTATTTGATCACCACTGGCTTTTTTATTTTTTATTATATAAGCAAAAAAAAGACCGACATTTTAGAAAAAAAATCTAATTTCTTCATAAATTTAGGCCAAAATCCCAATAAGTATATATTGATTTGGTTATATAAAAGTTTTTAGTGTCTAAACATTATGGAATATATACTGGAATTTTTATTTATTTATTTTTATACTAGTAATGGCAGTGATCAGCGACTTATCCTGGGACTGTGATAGTGTGACAATCTGACACTATGCTGGCTGGGAGGTACACTAACTGACACTGACATCCTCAGTGACACTGATACAGTGATCAGTGATAATACTATACACTGTTGCTGTACTAATGACACTGGATGGGATGGGGTCAACATCTTGGGGTAATCAAGGGGTTGTGAGTGTGTGCCTAACAATGTGGTAATGTGTATAATATGTGCTGCTTTTTGCTAAATATCTGTTTGTTCCTTCTCCCTGCTTTGCAGGGAGAAGAGACAAGCAGATAGTTCCCTGTGAACAGAGCCCTATGTGTTTGTCAACACAGGGCTCTGAGCTGTGATTGGACACAGCCAATCAGCGGGTCTCAGGCATGAATCATTTGCAAAAAAATTAGCATTTTATTATTTTTTACTAAAAGATGACCGTATCCTTTAAACAACTTGTAAATTACTTATTAACCATTTCTTTTTAGCAGCTTTGTGGCTTGTAGGTATCAGGGAATGAATAAAAGTGAATTTGTGTTTTTTCACATCTCAAAGGAGATAAATACCTCTCTTTTATGAATATTCATACATTTTATATTGCATAAAGCCTTTCCGTATAAGACAGTGGTTACATGAATAAGCTATTATACCATAAAATGTTGCATTTTACAGCACAACAAGCTGCTTGAATGCATAGTAATGGTTTATACTAAAGTCTAAATATCAAATCAATAGTGGAATGAATGGAGGACTAATTTATAATTGATTTAGCTGCATTAGTCTGGAAACTGTAAGCTGATGGTAGAAAACAGCAAACGCAGTTATTTAAACATGAATGTAAAAGCTAAGCCGCTGAACGAAATGTTATTTTTTACATTAAAAATACATGTGTGAATATTGGTTCAAAAGATTCAGTTTTAAATGAGTATCTTGACTTGCCTGGTCGATCACATACATATTCAGTGTGGATTCTGAAAACTAGAATACAGTATGTGGACTTTTTTTTTAATAAATTATAGATCACATTTATGAAAGATAAACAAAAGTAACCATAGTGGTGTTATTAGAGGAAGGCATCTAAAGTTGCCCTATATTAAGATTCTGTATCATGAGAGATGAAAACCCAGGACACTCGATAATAATAAAATCTCAACATCAGCTCTTAAGTCAAGCTTTGGCTTAAGACTGACTAAGTAAATATCCCATCACCACCCCTACGAACGCCCGTCTCCTATTGCCCAGTCTAAAATGCCTGGACCTATTTTTTTGTCCCAGTTCAGGCCTGGCTTCTGGTGTGCCTGCACCTTTAAAGAGGAATAGGCTACCTCCAGGAATACCTGCCCTTAATGTATTCATTGCTATAAGTGATTCAGTATGGAGACTCTCATAGAACAAAAATAGAAGTGTGGGTTTTCAACAAAACAATCATGCTCACT